CCTGTGCTACTCCTGTGTCCTGTGTACCCTTGCTGTGTACCTGTTTGGTCTAGTGTGGTGATAAGCACTTCTCTGGAAAACAGGTGTGCAGGTTACTGCTCCTTATTCCCTGTTTTCTTCAACCTGTAGGGCCACATGCAATGTGATCACATGTGGTCCTGTGGTTGCTGGTGATGTGTAATAAAACTGTTGCTGTAGCATAACCTTGTGTTTCCTTCATTGAGATTAATACTTGCTTTTTGTAAGTATAATAAATAATAACATGTACACTCTAATGGTATTTCTCAAGGTGGTTGCTGGAGCGAGTGGTAGGTGCTATTCAAAGAATCACTTGCAGGCCTGCACTCCTGTGAACTATGATCATGCAAGAGGAGGGCCCAAAGTAACATGTTCTTCATCTTCTCCTTAACATCATTACAATGCTTCTAGTCTCAAAGCAATGCCAGCACGTATAAATGAAGCACACTGGAAAGGCCAGGGAATGGCAAGGCTGCACCCTGGAGAACTCTGAGGGCCTCTTAAACCCAAACAGAACCCCTGAAACCCCACTTTCAAGCACAGCAGTGTCAGACATTCATCTGGGGGTGCTACCACAGCCTCAACTGCAGGGACAGAAAGGGCACTGTAGTGTTTGTTCTTCCCTTGTACTTCAGTACTCAGCTCCACGTGTTTCTGCCTGAATGTATCATGCTTTTATACACCAAGGCAATCTGGGCCACAGTCCAAGCCTCTTGGACTCAGTCTAAAAGCTGGCTGCTGAAGTTGGATAGCTAGGCACACCAGCTTTAGTTTAGGTTTTAAAATAAAACTTCCATCCTTTCTGTTTGTGATGGTTGGTAGCATGACCTCAACATAACCAGTCTCAGAATACAATTTGTTCAGGTCTGCAGAGAGCCTTTAATGGCAACTCAGAGATGTGAGGACTTTATTCAATTTCACAGCACTTTTAATTCCAAGACACTATCTGAGCAGTGTTATTCATCCAAGAATGAGATGTGGAAGAAGAACACAGGGCTGGTCACTTGGCTTTACACACTTTACAAAAGTAAATAATCCAAAGTGAATTACTGTGCCTGCACTTTTCTGGGTGACTGGGGAGTGGGTCACTCCCCAGAAGCTCACTGCTCCTGTACTCATATACAGAAGCCCAAGATGAAAAATTGCAGCAGAAAAGTAATCAATGCCAGGGTGTGACTTTTGCAGGTTGCAGTTTGAGACCTGCATCCTGTGAGAGTGTGCAGATTGCCACTGATCTGGCCTCCCTGCTGCTCTTCCCACACCTTATGCTAGGCAAGGTCACTTAACTGTACAAGCCTCTGTTTCTTTTTGAAGCAAGGCTAAACATTAAATAGAAATAGGTAAAAACATTAATAAATAAATAACCAAGACCTTAAAAACCTTTACAAAGTATAAATTACTCAACTGATATGTCAAGAAGTACTAATGAGGGAAGGAGAAATCAATGGTAACAAACCAACACAGTGTCTCCACACTCTGCTTAGAGAGGCTGCTCACTGAAAGAGGTGAAGCCTCCTCCCATGCCTGGTAAAACATTAGTGGAGACACTGTTTAGAAATCTTCATCATCGAAGGTCTCAGTGCACTGCAGCATCACAGTCTCATGATCATAGTGAAGATCTTCTTCCTGAAAGACCCCCCAAAGTCAAGCAGGATTAAAAAACAGAGGACTTCACTGATTTTCAAATATACAGCGAGTTGGTCAAGAGCTGATGTACCAGAAAATGCAGCATGAGCCCTCCCACCTCTCTGAGTCAACCATCAGCACTTGGTGAGTTCCTGAGGTGCCTGATGAAGAATAGCTCAAATTTTCTGCCAATTTCCTTCTAAAATCACAGGGCTCCACCCTGTGTCTATTTACATAATCTAGATAGCTATTACTGACTGTGGTAGCAAGTATGTCACATAACAGGCTCTGAAGGTATGAGAGTTTCCTTAACTGCTACCAACTTCAGGCTTTGCTCCACTTTTAGCAACAGAAGGAAAAGGTCTTCTCTTTCACCAGTTAACAGAGAACAAGTGGCTCTTGAGAAATCAAAGTCTGAAAGATAAAAGTATTCATGCCTGCAGTCCATCTATTCCACCTTCTGCATTGATGCAAGACTCCTCAGTGAAATACTGCTTTTAAAAATAGGTGCTGTTTGAAAATATATAGCTTAAGAAGCACTAAATACCACTTGCTTGTCAAGTGACTCATCTAAAACCCATAATTTTAAAAGAAAGTGTACCTTTGAAGACACAAAGGTGCTCAGTACTATTTAGAAAAAAAAAAAACCCACTGAGTTTCATTTAGGTAAAAACCTTTGGATCTCAGTCTAAATTAACTCTTTACTGCCTTTGCTGCTAAGCTTCTCTTATAATGTGACATTAAGACAACAGCTCTTGAAAAATTACAAGATTGCTTAACTAATCTCATGCTCAGAAATACTTCTCTATCATATACTGTAGAAGCGTGCTCCTGTTCTCATTTTGGGGTCCCAGCCCTTTAAAGAGCTCTCCCTTTCCTTGTCCAAATTATTTCCCTCCTTCTCTTGTGTCTTTCTGAAGCTTTTTATTCCAGTGGGGTGCAAGCCCTTGGTAGCCTTGAGAGCCAGGGCAGTGGCTCAAGAGGAGCTGTGCTCGGTAGCTCTGTGACTCTGAAACAGCGACCATCCACAATCCAACAGCTGTAGTTGTAGTTTGTACCTGGACAGTTAACCAGAAATGACAGAACATGGCAGTGGCATGAATGACCAGCAATAAAATCCACCACCTCATCAGTTCTGCAGATGAAAGGAAAGGAGACCATGGACTGCCTTTTGTATTTCAGTGGTATGCCTTACCTTGGTACTTACTGTACTTGCTACCCACCTCTGTATTTCCTACAAGGTGTGTGCACAGTGTACTGGGACACTGCTTTATCCTTGAGATAATTTATGCCAGCACTGCCCAAACTCCTGTGCTAGCATTGCACCAGCACAGGTTCCACATCAAGGGAAGGGGAATGGTCTGCAGAGGTTCAGCCATACCCATAAGGTAAGCAGGACGGGTTCCTTTCCCTGTCCAGTCCAGGAGTCTCTGATGCTCTGAGTAGCCCAATTTCTGGGGTAAGGTGAGTAGCCTATACTGATCTCTCTGTTGCTGCCTGAGTTGGTGTGTTTCAAGCTAGCTGGAACATCTTCTATCCCTGCTCTGCAACCACTTTCATAACTGTCTCAATCTGTTTGCTTTGAGATGGATCCGAATTTCTGCTCTCAAAACAAAAAATATCTTGTCAGTTATATTTTCTTTTTTCTACTCTTTTGCCTCTTGGCAGCACTGTCTAGATATGCTGTTCTGTACTCTAAATCAATATATATTGTGACCTTCATATTATCTAGCCTGGGTGATTTCTTCTCAAAGTCCCTTTTTATTGTCTTATCACAGATAACTAAAAGTTCCTGTGTAAAAAAGCCTGTGCAGCTTTTTATTTCCTTTCAGATCTACACAGTACAGTCAACTGCCAATTTGCAGTACTTTGGGCTCTTTTGCTGCTTGTCTTCCCATCACTCCCATTCTCCTAGTCTTATTTTAAATGTGCCTCTTTAAAACTTGAAAGATACACTATCTCTTCCCATACCACCTCATCTGAAAGTTGTGAGATGGACTTGGGCTCACACATAATGAGACAGCCCCAAGCAGAAGGACATGATGAGACCATGCCAGGCATGACACTCACAAAAGAAATTTAAAACCAGAAAATGCCATATCTTGCCTAAAGCTTTTCTTTCTTTTCTAGGCCTGTGGAGTTCATAGTCATTTACTTAAACACAAGAAGAGCTCTGCTCTTACACAGAACATACCTATTCACAGACAGCTGTGGAGATCAGTGTCTGGTCTCTGACAACAGCCAGCAGGGGAAGTTTAGAAAAAAGTGCAAGAATTGGGCACACAGTGTACTCTGTTTTACAATAAATACTTGTATATTATAGCAAACTGTGCTGTGAGGCCCTTTTGCACTGGAAATTGAATCTGTTCCTTCAGATTTAGTAATTGCCCATGGATTGATGGATTGATAACCCTGGAGTCTAAATGTGGTAATTTGTATGTACAAATATTTTTAATATGTTATTTGTTAATTTTATTTAGTGTTTTATAGACCTTCTGGTGTTACACACATTGAGTAATCATTCTGTGTACTGAATCCACCCCATGTACAAACAAAATGGTCTTGCAGTAACCCTCAG